TCCAGCTGATCGATTGTCAAGCCCCGCACTCTGCTCTTCGTCCTCGTCGAGGCCCATCGAGTCATCGTTGCCGAATGCTCGAGGTGCGTCTGCTGACGCTTTGGACTGCACGCTGCTGCTTGACTTTCGGGCCAAATTGCCTTTGCCTGTAGATGCTCCCACCTTGACTCGCGGCTGAGCTCTGGGCGCAAATCGCAGCGAGGCTGACCATGCCTGGGCCCCGCCTGCGCTGGTCGAAGCTGCGGAGGTTGGAGCAGAGGTGGAGGGAGCAGCGCTGGTGCTGGTGCTGGACGCGCTGCCATCCTGCTCTACCTTTGGAGCGCTATCATCGGCCCCAGCAGCAGTATCCGAGCCAAAGATGCCAGCGTACAAGCTGGATGCTCCCGCTAGGCTGCTGCTGGGAGGAGCAGTGTTGGACGATGAGTTGGGATGGGCCATGCTTTCATGCTTGGTGATGGTTGGGAGGAACTTTGACTGTGGCCGAATTGGCTACGAAGCTGCAACGCTATGGACGTCAAAGTGGAGCGGTATGGAGGGCCATGATGTGTCGATTGCAATGTGAATCCCTTCGCTGGCTGACTGAGTCTGTGTGATCGACAACGACGAACAACAGGAGGAGGAGCATCGCGCAGCGTCAACTCAGCACTCACCACTCGAAGCTGTACCGGTACCTACCTACGCATGCAGCGAGCGGGTTATCAGCATCTGCGGCCGCGCGTCACGCGTCACGTGTCTCGCCTGCTCGTGAATTGAATCACAACTTTGAATCAACCATCTTGAATCGTGAATTTGAATCTTGGAATCATGAATGTGAATATTCGCCCATTCTATTTTGACTCTTGGTTCATCCGGGCTGTCTACCTTAAGGCGCGATTGCCGCGGTGCGAGCTGTTGGCCGCCCCAAAGCAAAAAAGGGCCGGCCGGACCGTGATGCGCGCGCGGGCCGTGCTGAGTGACTCACGCACTCACGCGATGCAAAATCAGGTTTGGGTCGAGAAGACTCACATTGCGTGACTCGCAGCCGCTACCAATGCTCACAATCTGCTTCGTCTCGATCGCGGTGCAATCAGTCGTGAGTGCCAGTGGCCGCTGGCATGGACATTCGCTGACCGACTTGGCTCTTGATTCCATCATCCCGCACCTGTCAAGCAGCGACATTCAGAAGCAGCCCCAATGAGCATCGGCAGTCTCGAATTGCCCGCCGTTGCATGTCAGTCGGATGCGACGCCACTCAAGAGCGTGACTACATGGCAATTATGATGGCGAATCCAAGCCGCGGCTGGAGGTACGGCCCGACGGGGCGCAGTTCGGTTGCAATCATGAAGGTGCTATAAAAAATTCGTGATTTACAGGCGACAGCAGCAGTCACAGTGCAGAACGGGGGTTGCGTGAGCGTGTAAGAAAAGACGCTGGCTGGCCTGTCTTTGGTCCATCGTCGATGCCAATCAAGCGCACGGTAGCCTACAGCTATGACAGTCGGAGTGATCAGAGTCACGAGTAGTACAAGACAAAGCAGGCATGTCATCCCATCACTTGATGTCAAGCTCAGTAAGCAAGCAGACGAGCGTGGACAAATTGAAAGCAAAGTTTGCCGCAAATGCACACTTTGACAGAGTATCGACATGCACGCTGCCAGCACTCGACTTCAAGTCTGAGTCTCCAGTCTCCAGTCTCCAGTCTCCAGTCTCCAGTCTCAGCGCAGTTCTGTTGGCTTTGACAGTGCCCGTCCATCAGCCGCGCTTTCCACAATCAGATTCGCGACTATCTATCTACTCACGCTTGCGACCCATCCTGGTCAGTCTGCGCAAAGCGAGGTCCGGGTAGTTGATGATGCCTCCCATGCCGGATTGCCGGCAATTGCGCAAACGCTGAGTTGCCCTGAAGCGCTCTCTGCCACTAATCCAGCACCGTACTCCGTCACCGTACTTTTTCGACGGCGCATGATCCGAAGTGTCCAACGATGCACTCAAGAGGCTGGCTCGTTTTGATGAGGAAGCAAGTATTCCCCGCTCGTTCCCCTTTCAGACAAGCAGCTCGCGCTCCCCATGAAACGCCTTTGTCATCATCACCATCTGCCATAACCCTTCTCCGCTGCTCACCTCAGCCTTCAGCTTCTTGCTTATTGCTTCCACCCTTCAGCGCACGTTTGCCCCGCTATCAGCTGCAGAGCACCTGCACCGCCCCAAAGGCTCTGCGTTCTGCACGTCCCTTCGTTGCACAAGGCATCCCCTCAACATGCTTGGTCAAACCCGTCGCAGCTCGCTTCCTCCCACTTTCACTAGCCAATACGGGCGAGGTGTCAATGAGCGAGCTTCAACGGACCGTGTCACCCTTTACAACCTCTCCTCCCGTACTACGCCAGAGTTTTCGAGACCTCAAGACGCAAACTCGGACAAGAGCAACTTGCCGACACGAGACGACCAGCAAAGCTTGCAACCAGAACAGTCGCGTGGGACGCCGCAAAAAGACGAAAGCGCGTCGACCACGGGGACCGGTCAAGCAGCACCCTGCAAGCAGCAGAAGCCCAGTCCGTTGGATCTGATCAGACTCACATCACCCGCATTACACGCACCTTCAACAGGGACTGCAGAAGGCACAACGCCGTTCCCCGATGGAGGCAAGCAAGCCTGGCTCACCGTGCTCGGCTCTTGGTTCGCTCTTGCAGCCAGCTTTGGCATGGTCAGCTCGTGAGTGAAATGCGAAAGCGCTCCGCAGCTCCGCCCTCCCTCCTCCAGGTGACCCACCCGCCCACGTCTTTGTCCAGGTTCGGGGTATTTCAGACTTACTATCAGATGGAAATCCTCACCGCCTCATGGCCATCTCAGATCAGCTGGATAGGAAGCCTGCAGACCTTTCTCTTCTTTTTGCTCGGCATGCCAGTGGGCAGGGTGTTTGACGCTTACGGCCCAAAGCGGCTCGTCTTTTGTGGCACGCTGGTGCTCTCCTTTGCTCTCATGATGACCAGCTTAGCGACACAGTACTGGCACTTCATCCTTGCTCAGGGTTTTGTCGGAGGTGTAGGCTGCGCTTTGATGGTGAGTCTCTCGGGACACTTGGCCCGATCCTCAGCCTCGGCATCCTTTAACTCCTCATTCGCAGTTCTATCCCGCGCCATCCAGCATCGCCTCGTACTTCCTGCGTAGGCGAGGCCTTGCCATGGGGATTGCGGTCACAGGCTCATCAGCAGGCGGCATCATCTTCCCTATCGCTCTCAACAACATGTTCTCCATCGACACCCTTGGCTTCGGATGGAGCGTTCGCATCGTAGCCTTCATCATACTTGCTTTTGGCCTGATCGCCATGCGATTGATGAGCTCACGGGCACTGGAGAGCAAGAGCGAGGAGAAGTGGACGGACATTTCGGCGTTCAAAGAGGCAAGGTACTCGTTGCTATGCTGTGGGTCGTGCCTGATTGCGTTGGGGATTTTCGGTCCTTACTTTTGTGAGCTATAATTCTTTTTGTCCACCCATGGCAGACTTGAATGACAGAACCTACGCCCCTCCAGATCTAGAGTCATACGCCATTCAGCAGGACATGGCCCCGAACCTTGCATTTTAGTGAGCAACACTGTCATCTAGAGCGGGCAACCCTCGGCGACCTGACCTCGGTCCCGCCAGCCTAATTGCAATTCTCAATGCCGGCTCTCTTCTAGGTCGGCTCCTTGCAGCGCCACTGATGGACTACGTTGGCAATTTCAACACCCTGCTTCCATCTACATTGCTCAGCGGTGTGTTTTGCGTCGCTTGGTGGATCCCCATCTCGAGCATGCAACCCCAAACCAAGCTTCCATCCATCGTCCTCTTTGCCGTCATGTACGGGGTGGTTAGCGGTGCTTACATGGCGTGCCTGGCGCCTTGCATCGCTGCGATCAGTCCGATAGAGCAGATCGGCGCCAGGATTGGGATGATCTATAGTCTTATCTCATTACCGTGAGTGGGTGCCTCAACCAGCTTGATCTATACCCAATTTGACGCGCGATCCATTGGCAGTGCCTTGCTCTCCAACCCCATTTCTGGCGCATTTTTGTCCGGCCCTTCCGATAACACGTATCATCATCTCATGGCTTGGGCAGGCGTCACCCAGATCGTCGGAGTCATCTTGGTCAGCGCGACACGACTCTTGATCAGTCGGTCGTTATATGCAAAGGTTTAGATCTCAGACTCGGACTCAGACTCACAATGTCGTAGAGCGTTCGACGTGCCCCAACACGCTTTTACATAGAACTCGAGTAGACATCAGAGTATGTTGCCATGATAGATTCTGTAACATTCGTCTTGCGCCGCGTCTCTTCGTTGAACAAAATTGTTGTAAAACATGTGAATGATCATAAACAAATCAAGGTCCTGATTACAATCCAGCGACTCCCCCCGAGCTTTGTTCACATCTATGCTACTAGAGTCCTTGATTGATTGCTGAGATCGCGCAACTTGGTGCGAAGGCCTTGAACGGCTCGCAAGGCCGTGTCGAATTCAAGACCTGTTTCCATCCTTGGTGCCAGCTTTGAAA